CTACAGAACTAATGAATCATAAAATTAGTATTATTAGTTTCTTATTCTTAGTCACCTAAATTTTAACAGTTTCACGCTATTAAACTATAGCAGAACTTTCAGAAAGATCGTCTTTAACATCAGTATGTTGTCGGTACTTAGGTAATTGTAGAATGAGTTTTTGTAAAATATCTTATCGTAAAAAATGCAAGATGTCGCGAAATATGACAAGATTTTTATTATATAAAGTATTTTTTAGATCCATAAAGTTCTACAATGCATATGATATTTATAAATGGTAATTGTTATAGTAATTGATCAATTCTTATAATTGCATGTACAATTACGCCATTGTAAAATTAAATGTAAAAAATGCAAGATGACGGCAAGATACTTTTTAGAAATCTAAAGATATCTTTTTAGAAATCTAAAGATATCTTTTTTCTATCTGAAAAGCCGCGACAGCGCAATCTCGAGTAATTTCTTGCTTTCGTTCAGTGTCGCGAAGAGGATGTCTGACGAGGAGTGCTCGCCGATTTCGATTTCGGAAAAGAAACCGCGCTTCACGACAAAATATCTGCCGGTATTCGGATGGCTACCGCGATACACTCGATTCAAAGCCGTGTCAGACTTAATAGCGGGCATCACTTTGGGTCTGACTATGATCCCTCAGAGTATGGCTTATGCAATATTAGCTGAACGGATTCCACAGGTATCACAGTTCCGTTCATTATTTTTCTTATTCACTTTAATTTAAACTAAATTTAATGACTATAAAACGTAAATATTTATATGTATATACAGTGAGAGCAAAATGCTACTATGCGTACAAAGAAATTTTTTATGAAAAAAATCTTATTTGTAGAAAATAAACATTAATTAGCAATTTTATACAATGAATATATTCTAACACATACAAATGAGCTTCGCATTTTTAATATTTATTATTTTAATTAATATTATAAGCTATATTTTTCGACTGTATGAATACTTTTTGAGCATTTAAATAACAGAACTTTTAATTTTCAGATGATATATTAACTCTTATTTTTCAGATGATTTTCAGATATTTTCTATAATTAATATACATTTTTTTGATATATATAATTTTAAGAAACATACAATCCATTTTATGAATAAATTGTTAATTATCCAGCAAGAAATGATCATCGAATTAACATTAAATTAATGTTGAAATTATCGTATCGATTCGACATCAAAACAAAGTTTTTTTAAAAAATATTTTCTCTGTACGAATACTTTTTGTACTCACTGTATGTATTGCTTCAAATTAAAATCTGATTTTTGCGCTTTGAAAAATGCACTCTCGACTTTTGTTATCTTCTTGAAGAAATACTTAATTTTTCTAGTTCAATCTATATTATTACATATATTTAGTACACATTATTATTTAATCTGTTACTGATATATTTATCTGTGTCCTTAAAAATATCATATGAAAAGTAATGGTTACAGTATGGTTTGTACTCTTGCTTTGTGGGCGGTTTCGTGTACATTATTCTTGGAACCACCAAGGAAGTCTCGATTGGTCCGTCATCTCTGATGTCCCTTCTAACGTTACAGTACACGCGAGACATGCCGCAAGATTTCGTAATACTATTGTGTTTTCTAACTGGATGTGTAGAATTTTTAATGGGTGTATTAAATCTAGGCTTGTATTCCAAAATTATCTAATTAATTTAATTAAACTTCACTTCACTCACGTTTTGCTATTATCATCTCTTCTACAGCAGCTTATTTATAAGTACATCGACATAAATATGATATCTAAATGATTCTTCCTATAGGATTCTTAGTGGATTTCATATCAATCCCAGTTACGTCGGGTTTTATGTCAGCGGGAGCGCTCATTATAGCAATCGCTCAGCTGCAGGGCTTTCTAGGATTAAAATACAAGTCGGAAAGTATCATAGACAACTTGTACCAATTGTTTAAAAATATTAATAAAGTTCGACTGACCGATTTCATACTCGGGATTTTCAGCTTTATGTTTCTTCTAATTTTAAAAGTGAGTGCTAGAATTATAAACGGATTACAATAATCGTAGAAGTGTTATATAAATTCAATCTCTAGAAACTGAAAGATATTGACTATCCTTGCATGAGAAACAAGAAGGATGCTCGCAGAAATGAAATTATAAAAAAGGTACTTTGGTACTTTTCCATTCTTAGGAACGCTCTCATTGTGCTTGTTACATCCACGATAGCGTACGAATTTGAAGCGAATACGGGATCCATTCCGTTTAGACTCTCAGGTATAGACTTTACTTATAATTATATTATTGAGTCGTCTCACTAAATAAACATAATGATAAATAAACAAATTTTCTAAAGGCTGTCTCTATAATAATAATTGACAAAGTGTAGAAATATAGAGTATGTACCAACCGCAGAACTTATTCGCATAAAATACATAAATTTTCAGTTGTACATAAATTAGTTAAACATTATATCTCGTACATTATATAACTTGGCTGTGTGATTAAGCTCTCTTCAGAAACAATATAAACGATTACGCAAATTAAACAGAGAGAGTTTAATTATTTCGAGTTTATAAATAGATGACTTTAAATTAATAAATTAATATAAGATACAAAAAATACAATGTAATATTCGAATATAAATGATTGCATAAAATTAAGTTTCGAGACTTCATCTTCTCAAAAAATAAGATAAACTTTAGAACTAAGCTATTTCCTAAAGTAACGCGAACTGCTCACATGGCGGTTTGAAGATCATATGGAGAATTCTGGGTTTACAATCGTGGACAAAATATTATCGGTGAGAATATAAAACTATCATTTAAATATAAAATTTAGTTTCATCAATATTAAAATAACTGTACTTTATAATCAGTTTGTGTCGGTAGCTTATCTTTGTTACACTTATAATTAAGGACACAATAAATTTTTATACAGTTATATTGACAAAGCCAAATTTAATAGCCAAATTTAATAAGCCATACTTAAATAACACAGTCTTATATTCTCAAGAGACAATATTTTATCCATGATTGTATACCTAGAATTCTCTATACAGTTTTCCAACCGCTATAGAAGTAGCTTGCGTTACTCTGAGAACAGCTTAGCTCTAAAGTTTCGAGAAGATGAAATCTCGCTGCTTATGTAATCGTTTATAAATAATTTGTAATCATTTATTTAAGTTATTTCTGAAGAAGACTCACGCAATCACGCAACCAAGTTATTAACGTAGGAGGTATAATGTTTGATTAATTTATGTACAACTGAAAATTTATATATTGTTTTATATATGCAATAAGTTCTGCAGTTGGCTCATACATACCCTGTATTTCTATACTTTATAAATATAATGATTTTTAAAAATAAGCTACCACTAATTGAATAGTCTATTTATAGTCCTACTAAAAAGTATTATGTCTCAAAGTTACATAACGAAATTATGTGATTAAGATAAGTAATTCATTATATGGTTTACTTGTCTTAATTACATACCTGATTTCGTTTATATAACTTTGTGACGTGATTTTTTTTCAGTAGGGAGTAATCATTTTGTAAAACTATATTGAAATCTAATAATTTATAACAATCTTTAACTCATTTTTTAATTATTAATTAATATTATTTAATAATTATATATTAATATGTACTAAATAATTTTATTTAAAAATGTACTACTTATCATATTTGTTTATTTGTCATACTTTTGTGAAGTATTATGACATGTCAATATCTTAAATCTTACAGGAAAAATTGAAGCCGGCATTCCCAAAATAACATTACCGCCATTCTCATCGCAAGTAGGAAATCAAACGTACACGTTTTTAGACATGTGCGCTCATTACGGATTAGGACTAGGGTTACTTCCTATCATATCCGTCTCGGTGAATGTAGCAATAGCCAAAGCGTTTGGTATTAATTTCTATAATTCTTTCAATAATTTCAATTCGAAGTCAGACAGCAAGTTGCCATAACCACAACAAAATAAAATTGAGTTTATTTTTAATAAAATTATTTTATTATTTTTTTTCCAAATAAAATCCAATTACATTTTATTAAAAATATATAATAAATATCTCAATTTGACGATTTATCTCAATTCTTTATGTAATATGTTATGAAAAAGAATAAATGAATTTGTTCGAATAAAATAATAGATATATTTCGAATAACTTTTTTTTCTTACAATTCTATATAATACAAATTAAAATACTTTTAATTAAAATTTTGCTAAATGTAAATAAGACATGTAACAGCTCAAAAGCAAGCACCTTGTTATAAATATATAATAGATAAATGATTTTATAGCGATGGATGCCTCCATTAACGCGACACAGGAAATGCTGGCTCTCGGTGTTTGTAACATATTAAACAGCTTCGTGTCGTCACTTCCAACCTCTGGTGCATTTACTCGAAGCGGAGTTGGCAGTGCCAGCGGAGTGCAAACGCCTATGGCCGGTCTATATTCTGGTAATTGAAATCTTAATGACTGCGTTAATTTAAATTTGTCTTCATTCGTATGTAAGAAACAGGAGATGAAATGATAAATAGGAGCTTGGCAAAAATTACTATATTTAAATTACTATTTTTTCTTATTATATAGTCTTATTATCTAATTGTTTAATTAAAATCTCATACATAATTAGAAAAATTCACGATTTTAATCTTGATAAAATAGCAAGGTAAATGTAATGAGAGAGAGATATGGGACACACGTGTGACACGACGCTTACAACAAAAAAAGATATGCTAGAAAAAGTAAATAGATGACATTGCTTTTTGCAGGTACTATGGCATTGCTGGCGTTAAGCTTTTTAACGCCTTATTTTTATTACATTCCACGTGCAACGTTATCAGCAGTGCTGATAAGTGCTGTGTTACCCATGATCGACCTAAAAATCATAAAAGTACTTTGGAAAGGAAGCAGTAGTCAGTAATATGTTTTTTCATATGTACACAGATCAGACTGAAAAGAGAAAGCAATAAATTTACATAATATACTTTCTTTCTTGTAGAAACGGATGCGATCGCAGCGACAGGCACTTTTGTGCTTTCCATTCTTATTGGTATCGAGATCGGATTTCTTCTCGGTATTTTCTTCAACTTGATCATTTTCATCCGATTCTTCGCAAGATCGACATTTCAAATAGACAACTGCAAGGTAAATACTGTCATTTTGTATATGTATTTTTATATGTGATTAATATGTGTACAAATACATTTTTTCATTTCGTACATATAATTCAAAATATATATTTTATATATTTATGTATATAAATTACATTTTGTATACATGATTTAACGGAGTCTATATATTATATATAATATACATGTATGCATAATACATAATATTGCGTGTAAACATGAATGAAAGTATTATTAACTATTAAGATTATTAATTTATTCCTTTTTAGACTCATCTAGGAAACAAATATATAATGCTAAAATTCGATACCTGTCTCCAATATCCCGCAGTAACTTCTTTCTGTGATAAAGTCATGAATTTAGCTACAAAAAATGTTCCTTTGATCATAAACTGTAAGACATTCACTAGTCTCGATTATACTTCAATCAAGGTATATCGTTTATGATACAAAATTGATTTTTTTTCATTAAATATTTTTATTCGTAAATTACACTTTGTTTAAACTATAAATTTTACGATAGGGTATTGAAACATTATCGAAAAAATTAAACTATGAAAAAAACCAATTCTGGCTGTTGAATCTTAATTCTGATATCGTGCAAAATTTCAACATTTTTGCCGACAACAAATATATTCGTTTGATCGAAAAAAAAGAAAACATCGCAGATGTTCTTTACAGTACGTATTACACAAAATTGATATTATGATAATTATATGAGCTATAGTAGTAATAATTAATAATTATATGGTAATTAAGTCACAATATGATAATTAAGTTATCTAATGAACATTTTTTTCAGATGATGCTTTATCCAATCAAAATTCTGAAGATCTGATTAATGTCACAATGAATTCCCGACGAGAGGATTTCGAATCTACCTCTGAAGAATCGACCTTAATGTCACCACTGGAATGCAAAATTATACAATAATCAAATGATTAGATAGTCTTTAATTTAGCCTAGCAATTATAAATATATTAGGTAGTAAAAAGAAATCCATTATTTTTCCATTCAATTTCATGCAAAAATAATGGATTTCTTTTTACTACACCTAATAATTAAATAAAATTACTCAGACCAAAATCAAGTTTTTAAAACAAAGGCATTTAGGCTGGTATTCATATCAGATCTTATATTTAAGACTGTCTTAAATGCAGTCTTAAAAATATATACGTTATAACCAGAGACCAGTATCTATAGCCGATTTATATATATTTGAGACTGTCTTAAGTATATATAATCTTAAGATGTCATAAGCCAATCAGAGGGCTACATTTAGCATCTTAAAATATTACTTAATTAAGATTCAATGATGTTAAAATAAAAATGGACTATAAGTTCTTTATAGATACGCTGTATATAATTTAAAGATAAAAGTTTCTTGCATTATGATCATGACAGATTTTACTTGATATTACCAAAGACCGATATACTTATAGTATAAGCACTCTGGGAGGCTCGGGATCTGGTGATATTTGAAGAATGCTGATGACTCCTAACACTACCCTTTAGCAAAGGGTCACATTCAGGTCACAATAGAATCATTATAATTAAAAAGAAAATATGAAATGATGTCACTGTGAGATTATCATAACAAAATAATACATTAATTGTGATAAAGCGGACATTACGTCACCATGACGTAATCATGTTGTGATGTAACTATGATGTTTTTGCTGTGAAGATATCAATTATTTTTATTGATTTAAATGTATTTAAGTGTACTGAAAAAAAAATCTTAATTTCAAAGAAATATTTCTTTGCTCGAATTCAAAAATTATTTCTTTGGATCAATGAAAATTTCTTTGAAAATAAGATATTGTACAATACGAAATAATTTTTTTTATGAGCAAAGAAATATTTCTTTGAAATTAAGATTTTTTTTCAGTGTATGAATAGCCAAATTCAAGAATAAATTAATGAGACCACAGTTACGACAATTGGAAATTACAGGAACACGAATGTATAGCGTGTGCATGAAAATGTCTATAGTGATTTTACAATTGAAAAAGCATTCTTTATTATCCTTTAATACTGTTTTATCATCAGAAATGTAAAAATCTTTTGATGATAAAATAATGTTTTATGAATAAGGTAAAATCTTTATTTATATTGGCCCATATTCAGAACGCGCTTTTATCTCTGAAAATCTATAATATACGTAACATAAAATATACCCGAGAAAAAATGTTTTGTATATAATTATATAAAATTATAAAAAAATATATATAATTTTACGCAATTGTATATAAATAGACATATTTTAGTAATTATTTAGAATAATCCCTTCTCCCGCACCTCAAATTTTAATAAAAATACACTTATTTAACATGTTTTCACTCAAAAAGAATCTGGCAAAAAACGCAGCGATCGGCATGAATCGAGTTATTAAATGTTAAAGTTGGAGACTTTAGAGATTAAGATATCAATCCGATTCGATATAACTCCATGTATACTGTTAGAAATGTTAATTTTCTTTCTTAAATTTCATTAAGTTTTAAGTTACGCAATTTGAACTTAATTTCATGACATTATATTAAATTTAATGTATTTATAACTAAAAAGTATATGTGTACATGTACATAAAATTAAATGTATTTTTCATGAAAATTTATGAAATTTAATGTACATTCATTAAATTTAAATACCCAGCAAACGAGAATGAATTGAAATGAATTGAAATGGATTGAAATGGATTCAGATTTTCAGAAATATTGATTCACGAATGTTAAAATGAATGCTTTTCAATCCTGAATGTATTTTTATTCATTTATAGGAATTGCATGGAACATATTTTCTCTATGCCTTTCAATCTAAAAATATTATTAACTTTTTCTGTACAAAACAACACAATTGTGAATACTATTCAATTCAAAATTTTTAATAGGAAATGCAGTTTTTCAATCCAATTGCATCCAACTGAATCTAATTGAATCCAATTGAATCCAATTAAATCCAAAAAAAAGTATTCGCTATTTAAAATACGCATTTGAATAGAAAAAAATTTCAATTCATTTTAATCCATTCTCGTTTGCTGGACCCAACAACGAGAATGAATTGAAATGAATCAGATTTGAAATAATCGACAAAGTATACGATATTCTTATTCATTTCTCTTTTATTGTTTTTGTCTTTAAAATTTAGAGCCATCAGATTGCTAACGATTTAAAAGCTTTGCTAATATTCGACGAATATTTAACATCTTCTCGAGAAAAAAAGGTATAAAAAAGACAATTTAATTTGCATTATATGGATTTACTAATTTTTTTTTAGTTAACTTGTTTTTAGAAAACTTATACGATATAAGCTTTTATCTTTGTAAAAATTTGTACATCTCGTTTTTGCAGTTATACTTTGAAATAATTACAAAAATACATATATAACTGATAGAATCGCATGATTACAAAATTATAGTTAAAAAATTAAAAATGTTGTTACAATCAAAGCTAATTATTTTATATTCGCATAAATAATCAAGAATATCAAATTTTAGTGTTCTTTATTAAAAGAAATATATACAGCATCTGCAATTAAAAGAATAAAAAGAATTATTCCACATCTTCCTCATCATCATCTTCTTGACTGTTAATCTGGAAGTATCGTAACTCATACGTTTCCTTGTCTTTCGATACTACTCGCAACCAATCACGCAATTTATTCTTCTTCAAGTATTTCTTTGTCAAATACTTGAGATATCTATAAAAACAATGTTTTCCAAATTAGTGCAAATATCGCTCTTCTCATAGCTTATAATAGTAAACTTGTAATAGTAAAAAATAAACAAATATTCATAGTCAATTCTTATTTTAAAACTATCTTAAGATGTCACGAATCAACTAGAGGAACATATTAAGATAACATTGAAATAATAATGGACTATGAATATTGGCTATATTATTAATATTGTTTAATATCATCAGGTTTTATCTACTTAATAAAGACAAGATGGCACAAATATCGTTTTGTCTTTGTTCCTCATTAAATGCCAAGATAAAATGATATTTGTGTCGACTTGTATCACTAGAATCATAGATATTTAGTTATTCTTATGGGCTTTCTATAATAAGTCATTACCTAGCTCGAAGCCATAAGAAATTGACTAATCATAGTCAATTATTTTTCTCTAACTAGTTATATTCTATAACTATGATCGATCAATTTCTTATAGCTCAGAGTTCAAAACTTAAAATTTATTCATTGTCGCTTAAGTTGATCACAGAGATGTATTACGTGTACAACTTTGCTTCCGCCGTTTTCCTATAGACGGCTTTAGCGGTAAGTGGTGGTCGAAATAAATAGATCATAGACGTCATACAATAAACTTGGGCATCTGTCAACATAACCCCATTGAAACATTAGTCGATTTGTGTCTGCATCATAAAGTTATTCTCGATTGAAAATGTCAGTTTACGAGCCAAATTCTCGTCATTTGCGGGAGGTTTTCATTTTTTGCTTCAATATGAAGAAATCTGCGGCTGAGGCTCATCGAATGCTCTCAAATCCTTATGGTGAGGCCACTATTAGTGAAAGAACGTGTCGTAAGTGGTTTCAACGCTTCAAGAACGATGATTTTGACGTCCAAGGTCATGCTCTGTATTGGATGGGACCAGCTCGGCGTAGTGTATTATGAACTGTTAAAACCGACTGAAACAATCACAGGCGATCGGTATCGAACGCAATTGATGCGTTTGAGCTGAGCATTGAAAGACAAACGGCCGCAATACAACGAGAGACACGATAAAGGGATTTTGCAGCATGACAATGCTCGACCCCATGTTGCAAAAGTGGTCAAGACATACTTGGAAACATTGAAATGAAAAGTCCTACTTCACCCGCCATATTCTCCAGACGTTGTTCCCTCTGACTATCACCTGTTTTGATCAATGGCACACGGCCTGGCTGACCAGCACTTCCGGTCTTATGAAGAAGTAAAAAATTGGATCGATAACCTATTATCGATATTTGTGGATAGCCTCAAAAGATGACCAGTTTTTTCGACGCGGGATCCGTACGCTACCCGAAAGATGGGAGAAAGTAGTGGCCAGCGATGGACAATACTTTGAATCATAAATGTATAACCAGTTTTTTACAATAAAGCCTCGAATTTCGGAAAAAAATCGGCGGAAGCAAAGTTGTACACCTAATATTAGCATCTTAAGACATTATTTAAAATGATTTTAAAGAACAGATTATCAATATCAGTCTAAATGGCAAGCACCTATAAGTGAGTATTCATAATTTATTCCTATTTAAAGATTGTCTTAAGTAATATCATAAAATGCTAATTTAACTTTGTGATTGATTCACGACATATTGAAATTGTATTTGAGATGATTTATATGAACTGACTATGGATATCAACTATATCCATAATATTTTACAATTGTTATAATCATAGAAAAACAATATTACTCACCGTTTTGAGAAATCGACATCACTGTTGACAGTGAGTTTCATTTTATTGCGTTCCAAGGCAACATTGTTGCCAAAGTTATTAGTTTTCCCACCAACCTTGATTTTTTCTTGTAAATATTTTTCCTAAAAAGAGAAAACATCATCGTCTTATAATAATCAGTCTCAATGATATAATATTAAAACAATAGGCATCACGCAATTCAAAATAAATCAACGTTAGAATGTTTTATCACGTAGAGGTTAGGAAAATCCGAGAAATAGGATAGGTCTCCATTTCAATCAAACGAACAATTTCGAGCAAAATTCTCACAGATGGGAAAAGAGAGTATTAGGAATATAATCTAAAATAATTAAGAATAATAATGTAACTTACAAAATTGTTAACATCCATAATATTATCTTCCACGGGATGCGTGCAATCGATCGTGAACCTCACGGATACCTTTTTCTTCTGTCCCTTGCCCCGAAGCACCTGCTTCTTAATCGGGCCTTTAGTTTTCTTTGCTGGCTAAAAATTTGCGAAATAATCTATTTAATGATTGGTCAATTGGTCAATGTTGCCATTATTTTATAACAACATTATGAAACATGGAAAATCGCCGAGTCGCCGAGGTAGGAGCGTATGATAGGATACGTATGAATCGGACTAGATTGAAACGATCTCAAAATAAAACAATAAGCCAATGTGTCGCGATCGACGAGTCGGACGCGTTCTTTCTGTACGTAATGTTATTTTAACGAAATTCTGCCATAATTACGAATAATCATCGTATTTTTGCGAGAACGACAACTTACCGGAACCATGTTCACGTGTGTCCAACGAATAAAAGAACACGAGAAAATTGATTCTGATTGATCATCATATGGCGCTACAATCGTTTACACGGGAACATTTATTATAAAAAATTTACTAGATATAGACACAACAGAGATACCAACAGCGTGTGGTTCAGGACTGTGTGGTTCAGTGGCAGAACGTCTACCAAATCGGAAGAAAGAACAGGTTTGGGATCGAGACGAGGAGCGTCCTAATATTTTTCTCTATTGTCGTCAATTGTTTACATTATTAATTGAGAGCAAAAATCTATAATTCACGTGACACGTATATGTATTAGATTTTCACTATATTATATATATATATATATATCTCTGAAAATTCTAATTATAACTCCCGCATGCTTTGAATGTATATTCACTGGTATTTTTTCCGCCCATTTTTATTAATAATATATAATAGTAATACCTTTCTCAGTGATTTTGATTTCAAAATTAAATCTAGTCACTGTAGCTGAATATAACTCTTCGATCAACAGATACGATTCTACATCGCAGAACATATGCAATAATAAATTATTATAAAACATTCTTATTGCATTTTAAAATATTGCTGATTAGTAGCATTTGTAGCGTTATAGCATTCTAAGATATTGCTAATTAAAATAAGAATTATTAATTGAAATAAGAAATTGGCTATGAATATTGGTTTATCTTAATTTATGATTATGGCGTAATGGGCTTTCTTTTTACAATAAGCCAATATCTAAATTTTGACCAATTATAGTCGATTATTCTTCTCATCGATTATAATTGATCAATTCTTTATAAATTAAGACTTAAAACTTAGGTAATATGGCTTATTGTAAAAAGTCTATAAGAGATTCCATACGTATTTGACCTGTAACTTGAGCCAATTTATCTGAACTGCATGCTGAGATAGAAGAGCGATTTAGGACTCGCCACCAGAGATCCAACTCGCTCGAATTCACGCAAGCACCGTAATCACGCAAATTCCCTTTAAATAGAACATCAATCTCAAATTCATTTCAAGCGTCTAAAGCAGAACTCATATATCACTTTATTGATGAGTCTAGTAGTGTGGGACTGGGGATGAAACGCCGCAGCCGACTGACTTTTAAAAGCTTCGAGTCAGGCCTTGAATTATTAAAAATAAACGACAATGTATAATTCGTCGTAATCAAATAAGTAATCCTCCATGTTTACAAGTAAGTTTTTCTAAATCATATTTCCGCAACTAAGATGATTTAAACAATTTAATATATAAATTTTATATCAAATTTATACGTATCATATTTTTAGTACTTGACAATGTTTTTCGAGTTCAGTCCAAAAAAATATATTTGAAGAAAAATGATATGCCTGGAAATTCTGGTGACTCTTGAGAGTTTCCTGTTCTCATACAAGCAACATTGCTGCCTATTTAAAAAAATATACTTATGTAGGTATCATGCATAATATACGCTGAATATTAAATAAGAGAAATAAACACAATTAATGGAATGACTCGTAAATGATTTAAAATTGAGTACATTCTGGAATTAAATAATCAAAAATTCTTTTATAGTTAGTAAAGGAAATCAACTTTTTCAAACCGAAACTTTTAGTAATAAAATTTAAATCTTGAAAAAGTAGATATCTTTTGTGAGACTCGTCTTTGTAATATATTACAATTTTAATAAATTTTAATAATAAAGTAAGTAAAAAAATTGATGCAAGGTATATCCTAAAATGCATATTAAATTATTTCGTTCCTTCATTTCATTTTTCATATTTTGATGTTGAGAAGAGCATGTCTTTGAATTTTCATCGGATATTAGCAAAGTTTCTAAACTATTTGGTAATCTGATGACTCTAAATTAAAAAGACAAAGCAAACAAAATATTCATAAAATGAGACGTCAATAAGATGTTGTGCATATTATTTAAAACTTTATTAAAAATTTTAAATAATCAATAATATGTATTACAATATTCAATATAATCAATAATATGCACAACATTCACGTTACATATATTTTCAATACTAAAAATCTACAGTACGTAATGTGAATTATAAATTTTCAGTACTGGCTGTGCATATCGGAATACGCCTATAAAATATAAAGACATAATTATTTATGAAGTCATTTTATTTGTATTCATTGTATGTTACTTTTAACTCTTCTAATTTTTTATATTATATGTCTTAAATCTTATTATTATATCCATTATATTTAATCCTTCTAATTATTTTATGTCTATAAATTATAGATACAATTCCTATAAATTATAGACATTGACTATGTTTACACCTTATGTTCGTTTCCACTAATGTAGATTAACTTTAATCTCGGTTCAATTTACTCTTCGTCTTTTTAATATCTTTCTAATCTTTAGAATTAGAAAAAGACGAAGATAAGTTGAACTGAGATTAAAATTAATCTATATTGGTAGAAATGGACATTAATCGGATTTAATAATATTCGTAGTTAGAAACTAACCATTCCATTTTTCAGAGAAATATAGTTATGAGATTGGTTAGTTTCACAGTTAGTAGTTCATAACTACAGGTGTTATGAAACCTGATTAGGTGCCATATAAATATGATCATTAATTCCTATTCTTCCATTATGTCTAAATCCTTATTTATTATACATATTATATAATCAATATATACAAGTCTTAACACTCAAAGTGAACTTTCTAATAGAGGCATAAATCGACTCAGAGACAAGAGTCATTCTTGTCTTTGTTTCTTACTGAACAAGGACAGGATGACTCTTATGTCAATTTGTGTTTCTTGCTGGAAATATTTTAAAAATACTGCTGCAACATTATTACAAAAATAATATTACAAAAAGAAGTCTTCGCAATGTTTCTGCAACATTGTATTGCAATATGCAATTGAAATGTTGCAGCAATGTTGCTACAAGTTTCTGTACTGTACGAGTCAATTCATTTCAACTCATTCTTGTTTGCTGAGTAAATAATTACCTATATTTTATATATAATTGTATATAATTATATATAAAATTATATATAATTATATAGAATTATGTATAATTATATATAAAATATTTTTCCCGGGTAGTATGTTAGCGCGCTAACATCGTTGTAAGCGTGTTCTGAATATGAGTTACATTATATTTATCTTAATTTAGAACAATTAGAATGGTTGATAATATCATCGTTTTTCAATTTCCACAGAATGAATCAGATTGCCCCAGAGTAATCACGCTAACTCTTGTAAAAATATCGATCGTTATTTTTATTAATGATTTTTATTAATAATCTTGTCAATGATAAGTTTAAAAATCAAATGCACGCACTTTATAATAGTTTAAATTTGGCGCAATTTCCTACTCGTCATGTGACAAATTTTCATTCATTGTTCCATTTTTCCTTTTTTTATTTCGTGTTGTCTTTTTCGTGTTGTCGTTTATTTTTATGTCGTGTTGTGAAGAAAGCGCTGAGAGGCGCTGAGAGGCGCTGAGATCGTCTCATTGTATGCGTTTGTGTTCGTATATAATGCTTGTATGCATTTAAATTAATAAAATATTATTTTTTATGTGTAGCAACAATTTTAATTATTATCTTCATATTCTGCTAATAAAAACACGTAAGAGTAGAACTTTTTCATTTGTAAGTTAAGTTTATTTCGTATAATTAATAATTTTTCGATAGCAATTGAGGTTATATGAGATTTCTAATGTTTCAATCCTGTTGTAAATAGTCTTTTTTTCTGAATTATAGTAGCTCTAAAATGAGTGTAATTACTACGTCCGAGAAGAAACGCTTGCAATCTTTGAAGGAGAAGAAACAGGCATTCAAAGCAAAGGGACAATTTATACAGCAAGCATTAAAGAACTTAGTGGGTTTATTCACTTTGTAATTATATTGTATTTTATATGTATATATTATTACTTATAAGATTATTTTTTTTTTAGGATAATACTACAAACAATAAAAAAATTATATTTGATGATGTTAATGAACAGCAAGATGTAAAACGAAAGAAAAAAATAAAGAGAGATTTGTTTGACAGTGACGATGACAATAACAATGAAAAGGATTCTTTATGGAATGAAGATGAATTTAAAGTTAAGAAATGTAAAAAGGTATGCATTTGATACTTTGTTTTTTTCAATAATGATACTAATAGTATTTATTTATGCTCACAGACTACTCTTGGAAATGATGCACGTTTTATTCTGGATGATCGTTTCATAGAAGATGACAATCAGACTAAGGAAAGTAAAGTTGTTGAGGATACCGATGAGTATAATTTGCAGAAGGAGAAGGAAAAACAATTAGATATTTTAGAAGGCATTTTAGGAACACCACTTACCATAAAAAATCTGGAAACAAAATCTACTAAGTAAGAATATTTAAATAAATAGAACTTATGATTGTTACTTTGGATATCTAATGATAAAATATTTACAGGAAAGAATTGATGATACGATATGATCCAACTGAAAATGAACATTGTGAATATGAAGTAAAATCTGTTCAACCAGAAACTAAGGAAAAAAGTACCAAAAAAAAGAAACGTAATAAATCCATGTCAGAAATTACAGATTCTGCAATTCCCGAACCAGAAGTGTCAAAGGATATTTATTATACTGTATCTGATACTCTGACAGAAAGCTTGAAACAGAAAGAAGGATTTAGTTTATTAAAATTACATGGAAAGGAAAGAAATGACACAGGTGTTTATTAAAAAATATGACATTTTTATATTTTTATTATTTTATATCTGTACATATATTATTTCAGTTTCAGAAAATATCAAGAATAATGATACATCCATAGTGGAAAATATTAAAGCCCAACATTTTAAATTTAATTTTAATGCAAATAATGCATTTAAATATGATTCATCTGATGAAGAAAATACATCTAAAGCACCAGATATAAATAATCAAATGGTTGACGAAACTAAAGAAGGTATTCAAGAAAAAATCCTGTTTGGCCATAAAGATACTCTATTTTTTGATAGCAATGATATAAGATTTAATGGTATGTATAATAAAAAAAAATCATGGAATTAGAGCATTTAAGTTGATACTATAAATATATATATTTTTTTAGAAGCTGTCAAATTCTTCAGTACAGAAGCTGCTTCAAATGATACACTTAATAATTTAAGACGTGAATTAAAAACAATTGTACGCATGAAAATTCGTAATAATATAAGGAGACATCAGCCCTACGGTAAGAAAAGAAAAATAAAAAAATCTCAATAATATTTTTTTATTCTCTTTGAATATTTATATTTGAAAAAGATATAGTAAATAAATATAAAACTAAAATTATAAATATAAAAAATATATAAATGTATAAAAATAGATTTATTACATTATAAATACACACATACATCACGAATTTATTATATACATGAATTTTTATTATTTCTTTAGACCTTACATTGACTATTATACAGTAATTTAGTCAATAATAACTTACTTTTTCTATCCACTTAACAATATCTGAAAAATTCTCAATCTCTTCCGTGTTATTATAAACAATGTCTGGTCGCAGTCATCATCTACTGATTTTTCTCCTTATCGTTATCCATATCATTTAGGTTATAGATTTAGATATTTATGTTATATTCGAAGAATCATGTTGAAGTTTTAACAAATTTTAAAAAATATGATACATATGACGAGATAATAATAACGATTCAATATGTCGTGAATAAAATTATTACAAATTACTAAATTAAAAAACAAAAGTTTAAAATAAAAGTTTCCTTTATCAAATTTATATTTTTTATATCAAACCTGTTATATTAAACACGTATCTTATTACATTTTGTTAGTTTCTTTAGAGGATAAGATGGAAAAGAAGATTGACTACAAAAAGAGAATTGAAGAGATCTATTCTTTGCTTAGATTTATTGTTAGATTTACTGCTTAGATACATATATGTATATATCTGATACATAAAATAACAATACATATGTATGATCATTTTATAACCAACAAAGCAGTCTACATTGCTAATCCATATGATTGTCATGTAAATTTCAAAAGATGTGTTTAAAAACGATAAATTATTATTTTGTATGTTTTTCTTTATAAAAAAAAAATCGTATAAATAGAATGCACTACTACATAAATTTTTCGAAAAAAAAAACAATAAAAGTTAATTACCGAAATGCTCGCGGTTCAAAGTTTGGTTCGATGGTTTGAACTAAGGTTTATCATTAAAATAAGCATTCATCTATTCAAAAAAGAAAAATAAAGGGTTCTACCATGTATATGTAACATTTACATATTGCATTTAATTACATAAATTTTGAAAGTTATCTGCACATTATAATTTATTCTTCTAATTAAAATTAATATTTTTATCTATAAAATATATTTATCTATAAAATAAATTTTTTCGATGCTTATAAAAATGTTTTATGCAAATCACGAACAAAAATACTTTGGAAAAATCATAAAAAATATCTGACAATTTATACTTGTAGCTATGTGTTTCTAGTTTAAATCCTTTTTTGAAAAATTTCCGACTCCACACATCTAAAGTGCAAAAACAGCTGGATTGGATTAATGCATTAGGTCGATGCATAAAACATTTTTATAAGCAAAAATTAATAAAGAAATTACTTTGGAAAAAACTGTTTTTGCGATTATTTAATAAATGGAGAGTGATGGAAAAAGAAACGAACTATTAATTCACTTTTAGCACATCAAAATCCTACGAAAATATCTTTCAAAGTTCAAAGCACAAGATCCCCCCCATCCTAAATTTTATTGGCCTGTATAATTACTTACTTTTTCCAGCCATTTTGCAACATCTGGAATGTCAAAATTTTCAACTGCTTCTTTGATATCACGAATAATGTCCGGCCACACTGCCATTAATTGCTGACTTTCTTCTTTGCTTGTTATTCGTATCGTTGGAGTCATGGAATGAGCCATTTATGTTACAATTGAACGTTCTAAGATTTTTAACAAACATTAGTTTAACAAGTATGACAAATAATAAGTAACAATGACGATTTAGTCACGTCATGAATAAAATTGTAATGAGTTACAAGCCAAAAAGATGATGAAATAAAAATTTCTTATATATTTTGTATATCTTTTATATGAAGTACTTCATATTTTATTAAATTTTGTTAACCTTTAGAGGATAAGATAGAAAAGAAAACATGAAAATAGTACTAAAGAAAAAGCTGTTCTTTTCTTGGTTACATATACTCAATACATTGAATAACAATACATATATGTATGGTCTTTTTATGACAACAAAACGGTCTACGCATTAGTAATTCATATGACTGGCATGTAAATATCAAAAGATTTTAATTTAAATAACAAATTGTTCTTGCTGTTTTTTTTATCCGAAAAAATACATTTCGTATATTGTTTTTTATCCGAAAAATCAGTATAAACAGAACGAAGAATATTTAATATTATTGCATAATTTTAATATTAGAATTAATCGTTAAAATGCACGTTTTTTTATTTATTTAGAAATGAAAGAGAAAATATATATTACAGTGTTATCTATTACCATGTGTATATAACATTAATATACATTGCAATTAATTATATAAAGGATTCTTACAAATATTGGTGACATTGTATTTTTTTATAAATAAAATTAATATTTACTTTCATAAAATTACATTATAAATAATTTTAGAAGTGATTATTATTAAATATTAAAAAAATTTTTTTTTTATTTTCTGAAGTGAAATATCTTTCTGGACATAAATCTTTATAGATTAGATCTCTTATAGATTTTTTTTTTTTTTAGATTTTATATAAGAGATATTTTGATATTTTTCACAACAAAATAACATTTTAGTATTCTTGAATATCAATAGAATACTTCTCGTTTCACTTTATTCTATATTTTAAATTTAACGATAAAATATCAATGCAATAATAAATATTTATTAATATCAGTTTCTTTCTTCAATATACATATACAATATACATATATGATTATTTTATATCATTCTGTGATAGAGCTTCCATAATAAAGTCAAGAAAAGACTACGTAAAAGCTCACATGATATCTGCTGTATATATATTTTTAGTAAATTATATGTTTCTTCTTCATATGTAGAATAAGCTTTTGGTAAATCAAGATCAGTGAAAAGTTGTTTCACGCGTCTTATTTTTTCCGGATCGGGAGAGCCGTAACATTCCTACATAATAAGAAAAAGAATTAATAGAACAGCACACACACACACACACACACACATACACACACACACACGCACACGCACATACTTAAATCAACGATACTCACTTCTAAAATTTTACGCTGCTCCGGAGTGGCACGTTGAAGAGCTACAACAATCAGCCATGTACATTTTCCCTCTTGTATATCAGTATAATCCTTGCCATGAACATCGGATTTTCCATAGCAACCTAAATAATCATCTTGGACTTGGAATAAATGTCCTATTTCAGACAAGACGGGTTTTGCTTGTCTGAGCATCTCTGGATCTTTTATTCCGGCCTAGATCAAGTAACGTAATACAATATTATCATCAAAGTGAATCAGTCTGTTCGTATTTAAGAAAATTAAGATACACTTACTAATTGCATAGCTGCGGTTATTGGCAAAATAAAAGAATATTGCGATGTTTTGTACTGACAAATGGAATTATATCGATTCATTGTAAATAGATCCAAATTGGGTTTCTTGCCAAAACTGGTAGAGAGCAAATCTAAACTTTGGCCTATAATTGTCTTAAATATAATCTGTTAAAATAATTTCATAGTTAATTGTTCAATTTTCATAAATAATTGTTGTCAATTAAAAAGTAAAAGGAAATTATTTAATATGTATATATATTTGGGAAAAGAGAAGATATCTTTACTCACATCGTGAAATGTTTCTAATAGATTAACATAATAATCTTTCCCTTTGAAATATTTTTTAATTAGATAAAATACAGCACCCTTTAACAATAAACTATCATTGATTGCCGCTGGACCTATATCATTGAATCGATACCAACATGGTTTGCCTCGGCGAAGTAACGATCGGTCCTCTATATCGTCGATTAAGAGAAAATAGGCTTGCAACTATATAATAATAAATGTTTTAATATCATAAATCGTAATTGCAACATTTAATATTTTTTAATGAAGATCACTCATTATATGTACAATACTGCCTTTAATTTGAAGGTAATATAAATTAAAATTTTAACTATAGCTTGCATTAGATTTATTCGAATTAAAATTCATGAAACATATCAATGTAACGAAGAAAAGAAGAACAGAATCACCAATTCTAGACACCATGCTAGAATTCGTGCAAGACGAATGTTTTCTTCTATAAGTTGATCATTTGGTGCTAGTATCTTATAGGCGCAGATTAATGTTAAAGCACGAATTTTTTTTCCTCCTGGAACATTATACTGTAATACCTGCACAAAAAAACATCAATCTATACATTTTTTTAAATCCGAGATTTATTGTTTCATATATCATCTAATTACAGGTTTTTGAATTATTGGATTACTCAAGGCTTTTTTTTATTTTGTACAAAATCTAAAACTAGCTATTTATTTAACTTTTTTTGTTAAGTTTACTTTAGATTGTTGTTTACTAAATTTTGATAATGATTTATTTTTACTTTATACACTATATGACACACAAAAAAGGAAAAGAGAAAATTTTATTAAAATTTTATATTTATGATTATGAAATTTCATATCGCATTATTTATTTTCGCATTACTTCATACTTACTACATATAATAATCCTAAAGGAATTTATCCTAAGATGAATCGATCAACTAAATAAATTTTAACATATTTCACACACACACACACACACACACACACGCGCGCGCGCGCGCACACACGCACACACACACATATCCCACATTGGCTATAATATTTATATTTTTTGTTTGATCATATATATTATTTTAATCAATGACCTACTTTTTCCATCCATTTAGCAACATCTGAAAAGTTAGAATTTTCAATCTCTTCCGTGATATCACGAACAATGTCTGGCCACATTGCCATCATCTGTTGACTTTCCTCCTCGCTGATGGTTACCCATATCGTTTGATCCATTATAATAAAATATTCTAAAGTTTTATAATATAATTATAAATAAATGTTAATAAAGAAGAATGACAAATAACAATTCCGTTACGTCAGGAATAAAATTGTGATAAATTAAAGTAAAAAAATGATGAAATAAAAATTTCCTTCGATAAATTTAGATTTTTTTATGTCTTTTGTATTAAGCACTTTATATGTTACTAAACTCCGTTAGATACTTCAAAATATAAAGTGGAAAGGAAGATACGAGAAGAGAACTAAAGAGAAATCTATTATTTGCTTAGACGTATATATCCCCGAATAGCAATACATATGTATGTACTTTTTATAACGAAGCGATTTACATACCGTTAATATGATTGTCATGTAAATGAAAAATCAAAAGATATTTTCAAATAATAAATTATCATATTTTGTACAATGTTTTTTTATAAAAAAATATCAATAATAACAAAATGCAGCATATGCAGTTTATTACACAATTTTAATACTAAATTATTAAAATGTGTATTTGTTTATTCAAAAACGAAGAAAAAAATATACACAAAAAAGTTTTATTTGCATGCTATCATGTATACGTATTATATATATATATATATATATATA